GGGGGGGGGGGGGGGGGGGGGGGGGGGGGGGGGGGGGGGGGGGGGGGGGGGGGGGGGGGGGGGCGTTGTCTTTGTATTTTTTTTTTTCCTTTCGTGCAGTGTAGATACGAGCAGCGTTCTTGCCGTGCTGCTGTCAAGAATAATCGGCGTGGGGTAGTGTCGTGCCATGATCCCTTGGAGCAGCACGAGAAGTTTCCGTGTCTTGCACACGTTTACGAATAACAACCGACTCCTGGCTACCGGACAGGGCCCGTGGGCCATGGGTGCAAGACCCGTGGTTTTCTATGAGGCTGTCTGGTTTCTCGTGATTCACAGCACGAGGGGTTGTTCCAATTCCGCTACAAAAATAAATGAGGGTGTTTATCGTTTCCATTGAATATATATTGGTATGTATTGTGAATGCAACCGATGTTGAGATATATCTTCGCGTTTTACCTGGCGAAGCAATGTTCTACCCGATCATATGATTGAATTTCCTGGGGAAGCCACAGCAGGGGGGCTGTTGGATATGCTTGCCTGCATTGAGTACGCAAAGAACCACGGCTGCTGTTGAAGATTTCTGCAGTGGAGGCTGGTTCTTCAAGTTATGTTTATTCTGGAGGAAGGATTTGACATGTATAGATGAGCAGTGGTTGGAGCCTACGTGCTTCCCGATCGCTTATTACCTATTGGGCAATTGGTTGAAACCTGGTTTGTTTGAGGATTTTTGTTCAAGTGACAGATACGTTTCTGCAGGGCAGTGTTGGCCACACTACTCCAAAGGCAAGTTTACTTCATGCAGAAATATTCTGACCATGATTCTTGTGTTTTGGTATCTTGATACGTACAGAGAAGCGACCTGGATGGTGTTCACAGTTAAGAGTGTCATCTTCAGCAGGTAGATTATTCACTGACACTGATGGAAATAAAAAAATGATTTGATGTTCGAAGAGTCAACGCGTTTCGGATGATGGACTTCTATCGGGAAATCAATGATTTCGGAGGAAACGTCATCTTGGGAGATTTGTTTCGAATTGGTACGATGGAAAAATCTCGATTCGAGTTCTGGTTGTTTCGGCCGAGTTGTGCGATAAGAGGAAAAGATTGTAGATCGCATCTAGTACCGAATAGGGGGACTGTTAGGATAATTAGCACGAGACACGGGTCTACGGAGATCTTTCGTGTATCGTGTGTTTCTGGAAGGGCAGACCCCTTTATGGTGTGCAGGGCTTGCTTGCCCTGTTGTTCACTCGTAAAACTCGGAAACTATCAAGGTCTTGAGTCAACCTTTTCTCCACCATTTCTCCACAAGCTTTTCTGCTAAGCTCCCGCTACCCAACATAACCGCCTTGTTCTGTTCGTCTGGGCGTCTCCCTCCCTCCCTCCCACTATTCCACAAAAAACCACAACGCAAAAAACAAGCAGCACCGCACGACGATAGTTGCAGCCATCCAACACAGGCATCACCAGCCTTGATATTTTCGCCCGGGAGCCCCCTCCCTCCCCCACAACAAAGCAGAATCAAGATATTTTGCAGCCGTCCAACATGAGCAGACTCACCTTGCTCTTCACCAGCCGCACGGAGCTGATGCGCCCCAAAGGCCCGAAGTTTTGACGCACCCTCTCCCTCGCCGACGCCTCGTCGAACACGGGGACCCCGCCCACCCACAGGGTTCGGTTCTCCTTCAAGAAGCACCCGGCACCATCACGGTCCTCGTCTTCCACCCCTGGCAGTGGCAGCAGCAGCAGGAGGAGGAACAGCAGCAGCGGCAGCAGCACCAGCAGAAGCAGCAGCACCAGCAGAAGCAGCACCAGCACCAGCAGCACCAGTACCAGCACCAGCAGCACCAGCAGTAGAAGCAGCAGCAGCAGCAGAAGCAGCAAGCAAGCAAGCCGTTAGCGACATTCTTGACGGCCTGGGAAGCAGCAGCAAACAAGCAAGTCCCCGCCCAAGGAGTCAACGACAATCCTGACGGCCTGGTCCCAACAGTTCAAATATGTTTGTGGCCCTTCCGCCCCCCGCAAGGAAATCCCGCAATAAGATTCTGCTCGACCAGAAGGCCAAGGCCACACGTCCCTGAAGGTACCGATCGCCCCCCCCCCCGCGCTCTAGTCGGCGTGCAGCCTCGTCAACTTTTTTGGTGGCCGCAGCTCTCGAGTTCGGGTCTCAGGGCAGGAGTGAGTTCGAGTCTCAGGGCAGGTGTGGGTACGAGTCTCAGGGCAGGTGTGAGTTTTCCTCGTAAAATCGATAGCGTTGTGTTGGTGAATACTTCTTCGTATTCTTTTGGCAGGGGGGTTAGACAGCTTTCCCATGGAAAGGAAGGGAGGCGTGCCGCGGAGAGAGTTTTCTTCCTCTCAACGCTGGATTCGAGCCCTGCAGTCTTTGTAGAGATACCAGACTGTACAAAAAGCGAAAGGATGAGAATAACACTGCCTTGAGAGGGGGGTGGGGGGGGGGGGGGGGGNGGCGTACTCTTATGTTTTGCATGCCTTAGCGGTTAGACCATTGACCACGCGTCCTCGAGAGGACGGAGCATTGTTCCCACAGGACCGATCACCGATGGCCAATCGTTCCTTTCTACTTTGCCAAAGGTGCCTCAAAAATGTCTTCCCTAGTCTGTCTATCCTAACGATATCCCTTCCCGCCTTTCCAACCCACTTCCTATGCCCCAGTACAGCTACCGTCCTTTCCTCTCTACCCCATGCCTCAAACATCTCCCTGTGCGTCCCATCTATTTTTCCCAGCTCAGTCACGTACACTTCCCTCTCCTTCTTGTACAACGGGACATTCCGCAACTACATGCACACGGTCTTCGCATTCGAAGCCGCAATCACACTTGAACTCGTCGTCTTCCTCGTCTACCTTCATATGTCTTCGTCGACGTTCTCGAAGGCCTATGTCCCCGGTCCTGAATTTGACCTTACGCTTTGTTCCTGCATCCATTGGTGTAGGTAATCCTTGAACCCTATTCCTTCCTTCAACATTCCGTACACTTCTGGACCCTCCTTTTCCTTGGTTTCTTTCTTTAGATTCTGTTCTTCTCTCTCGGCACAAGCAACAGATATCTTCTCCTTGAAGCCCTTTAGACCCTCCGTTTCCAGCGTTTCATCTTCGTCGATGTCGAGCCCCTNTGCTTGGTCTACGCACCCCCTCTTCCTGCGGAAACCCGCCTGGCCTTCACGAATGCTATGTTCCTTCTCCAATACTCCCACTATCCTATCGTTCAGCAGCTTACATAACACTTTTCCTACTGTTTTCAACAGTGTGATCCCCCTGTAGTTTCCTGGGTCAGTCTTGTCTCCTTTCTTAAACAAGTTCACAACCACTCCTTCCTTCCATCTTCTTGGCGTACACTCGTTTTTCCACTCCCAATTGTATAGCAGTACCATCAGCTCGATCATCNAGCTTCATTCTCCGCGGGCACCCCAAGTCTCTTGTAGTGTCCTGCTAGAACTTCCCTTTTTCCCTTCCCACTGCTGACTAATCCACCGTTCACACCTCGCAAAGTTTCTACCCCTGTATCCCCCCCTTGCGCGGTCTTTTTTACCATTCCACTAATCCCTTCCCACATCTGCTTGACGTTTCCCTCCAGGCCTCCGTTGGCCTTCTGCACTACTTCGTCCCAAATACACTTTTTCTTCTTTCTCACAAGTCCCTTCACCTGTTTTCTCTTGGCCCTGTACTTTTCCCAACTCTCCTCAGACGCCTCACTCAGGTACTGCTTGAAGACTTTTCTACGTTCCCTTATTTCTTCTTTCAGCTCNCCCCTATTCCCTTCCCACATCTGCTTGACGTTCCCCTCCAGGCCTTCGTTGGCCTTCTGCACTACTTCGTCCCAAATACACTTTTTCTTCTTTTTCACTAGTCCCTTCACCTGTTTTCTCTTGGCCCTGTACTTTTCCCAACTCTCCTCAGACGCCTCACTCAGGTACTGCTTGAAGACTTCTCTACGCTCCCCTGTTTCTTCTTTAAGCTCGTCGTCCCACCACTTAACCGATACCCCACATCGTACCACCTTCTTTCCCACTACTCTCTCTGCCGTTGCGTTCACGATGGACTCCCACCCTTCAATCACCCTGTCACCTGCTGCTTGTACGTCTACCTGTCCGTCTTCGACGCTTCTCAGCAGTTTCCTGAAGGATTCTACACTACCAGCCAGCCCCTTCTGGAATTCATCCCGTGTCCCATCGTCTCCCACACGCTCTACTTTCCATCGGAACACTTTCCTCTGTTTCTTACTCTTCATCTTTCTATATCGGTCAATGTTTGCCCATATGAGGAAGTGGTCGGTGGAACCTATATCTATCACACTTACGTGCATCTCTGGGATCTGCGTGCTGCCCCCATCTACCAGGATGTAGTCGAGGATCGAGTATTCATTGCAAACTGC